AGGTGCATGCTAACGTTAACATCAGACTGCTGTGAAGGTGCATGCTAACGTTAGTGTCTACCAGCTGTGCAGCTAGATGCTAACGTTAGTGTCCACCAGCTGTGAAGGTGCATGCTAACGTTAGTGTCTACCAGCTGTGCAGCTAGATGCTAACGTTAGTGTCTACCAGCTGTGAAGGTGCATGCTAACATTAGCATCAGACAGCTGTGAAGGTGCATGCTAACGTTAGTGTCTACCATGTGTGCAGCTAGATGCTAACGCTAGTGTCTACCGGCTGTGCAGCTTGATGCTAACGTTAGTGTCTACCGGCTGTGCAGCTAGATGCTAACGTTAGTGTCTACTGGCTGTGCAGCTAGATGCTAACATTAGTGTCTACCAGCTGTGAAGGTGCATGCTAACATTAGCATCAGACAGCTGTGAAGGTGCATGCTAACATTAGTGTCTACCGGCTGTGCAGCTAGATGCTAGCGTTAATGTCTACCAGCTGTGCAGCTAGATGCTAGCGTTAATGTCTACCAGCTGTGCAGCTAGATGCTAACGTTAGCATCAGACGGCTGTGCAGGTGCATGCTAACTTTAGCATCAGATGACTGTGAAGGTGCATGCTAACTTTAGCATCAGATGACTGTGAAGGTGCATGCTAACTTTAGTGTCTACCGGCTGTGCAGTTAGATGCTAACAGCATCAGACGGCTGTGCAGGTGCACGCTAACTTAAGCATCAGACGACTGTGAAGGTGCATGCTAACGTTAGTGTCTACCAGTTGTGCAGTTAGATGCTAACAGCATCAGACAGCTGTGAAGGTGCATGCTAACCTTAGCATCCACCGACTGTGCAACTGGATGATAGCGTTAGCATCTGTTGGCAGAAGAAGAGAGAGTAGCAGGCAACGAGAAACAAGTCTGATGACTTTTTTAACAGTGACCAGGTCAAAAACCACAGGTTAGAGAGTTTACTGGGGGAAAACAAACCGGTTGATTATCCACTGGTTGAGCACACAGCCAGTCTCGATGTGATTGGCTGTTTTATCGTGCTTTATTTTTTGGAATTTAAAAAAATATTGACACTAAAAGAAGTATAATTTTTTGAATAAAACTGAAGCAAAGATGCAACACTTTTTTTCTCCCAGAATTCTCTCTGTGAAGGAGTCAGGTTTTAGTTTCTCTTAAATATCAGCTATATTTACAATATTATAGCCATAAAAAGAGGCTGGTGAGGATTTTTAGCTGAATTGTTTTTATTTGGACCGGATTTGATCAAAAATGTAATGCATCAAATATGAAATATAAATTAGTTTTCACATGGATAGAAAAATGTTCAGCCCAGGTATCAATAATACTAAAACTTATTGGTACCATCAGTATTTTTACTAAGGGTAGAACTTGTGTCAAAACATGTTTACAACTGGAGATAACTGCCCACTGGTTGATGCTCTGCAGACGTTCTTTATGACATTCAGTGTTTTAGAGTCTGGATTTTACAAAGGCTTTTCTGTGAATCTTATTTAAACACACAGAAATGATTGGCTGCTGTTTATTCTAAATTATTTTCAGTTTTACATAAACAAGTTGGTTTTTCACTCAGTAAATGGCTCAAMTCTGCCCCCTGCTGGTGAAACACTTCAGTCTACCTAAAATTTAAACACCGGAGAAGATAAAGGAAAATTTCAGCTTTATCAACTTGATACATTTTAGCAAACAAATTCTATACATTCATATGTATAAATATAAACTAGAGAAAATGCATTTCCTGCGAAAATGCAAGTGTGAATGCCTGTTGCTGAAAACTTTAGCTGAAAGCTGCTGAAGAAGCTGAAACTGAGCTGAACATGTTTAATAGCGAAAGTACAAGAGTAAGTTGCACTTGAAAAGCTGAAAAAAAATATATATAAATGCAGAAAACACTAAAAAGGAGCAAAAATATAGCTGAAATAGCGTAAAAGAGCTAAAAGCTAAAGGCTAAAATAGCTGACCATAGCAGAAAGCCACTGTAAGAAGCATAAATAACTCAAATTATCAGAAAGAAACACAAAAAAGTAAAAAAGGCAGAAGAATAGTAGAAGGAAGAAGAATTTTAGCTGAAATATCTGAAAAAAGCTAAAACTAGCAAAGAAGTAGCTAAAATTTTCACAAAGACTTTAAAAGGAGCACAACCTGAATATAATATGTAAGGTTCTCTAAAGATTTAGAAACATTATGAACAAATTTAAGGATGTTGAATAAAGCTCCATTCATTTCCAGTGGGAAAAAAGTAGCCGAAATAGCTTTGGCTACAATTGTTCAATTTTCTTGAGTCTTCAATATGTTATAGAGCTGGCTTTCAGCTACCAGTACATAAGTCTTCATGTCAAAATCTCAAACATTGTTTGAGTAAAAGGCCTTTAAAACTAGCTTTGGCGGCCATCTTGGATTTTTTTTGGGCTGCTATTTATGATAGAGTTAAGTCTCAGGTACCTATATATCGATTTATAGCTCATTRTATAAAAAAATGCCCAAATTCAACTAATTTGAACTAACTTTAGCTAATAACAGCTAAAATTTAGCTAAATTTGTAGCAAATAGCTGAATATAACAGAAAACAACTGTAAGAAGCATAAATAGTACAAATTAGCAGAAAAAAAGCACAAATCAGGCAGAAAAAAGCAGAAGAATAGTAAAAAGAAGCAGAACTTTAGCTGAAATAGCAGAAAACAAGTAAAGTTAGCAAAAAAAAGTAGCTAAAATTTGCGCAAGAGATTAAAATAAAGCATAACCAGAACAAATTAGTAAGGTTTCATAAAGATTTTGAAACTGTTTGAAGGATTTCAAGGTTCTTGAAAATAGCCCCATTCAAAGTCAATGGAGAAAAATAGCTAAAAAGTTGAAATAGCTAAAAAAGTATAAAGAGCTGAAATACCAAAAGTCATAGCCTGCATTGCACGAAAGAGCTGAACGTTTTGATATATGAATGGTTGAAGTAGCACAAAAATTGTGGATCAAGAAAGGTGCCAAAAAACGTACGGAAGAAAAAATGATCTCAGTTGTGTGAATGCCGTATACGCAATTGTTAATTCAAAACATACAGCCTGCAGTTTTTCTTACAATAAATCAATGTTTTTATTTTTTTAATCACTGTTTTTATGCTATTTTGCCAATTTTTCAAACCCCGCCCCCTGTGATGTGGCAGACTCTGATAGGCTGGAGCACCAGCTGGAGGAGGCGGTCACGCTCAGACAGGACTACGAGAGCTCCGCCTCCAAACTAAAGACCCTGGAGAAGCAGGTGAAGACCCTGAGGCAGGAGAAGGAAGACAACCACAAGGTAAACAGCTACACCAAACTTAAGTTTATTAAAAAAAAAAACTAATTCTGTTGCGTCGTTCCATTTTTTCTTTCCCGAGCAGCAACTGGCCGACTCTCTGGAGCGCCTCAGGAGTCAGACGAAGGAGCTGAAGGAGGCGCGCTCCCAGAGGAAGATGGCCGTTCAGGAGTTCTCGGATCTGTCGGAGAGGATGTCTGAACTCAACTCCTCCAAACAGCGCCTGACCCGTCAGCTCCGAGACAAAGAGGAGGAGATGGACACACTCCTGCAGAAGATGGACACCTTGAGGCAGGAGATCCGCAAGACGGAGAAAAACCGTAAAGAGGTGAGGAGGAAGAGGAGGACTTAGACAGTTATAATTAGAAATGAGCCACCATTAGACGCCAAACATGCACTGTCGGTCTTTTCCGCTCAGATTCAGTTATCGGAGCATGAAGCTAATGTTTACTCACAATGCTAATGCT